CATTTGGGATCGTCCCGGTGGATCCGCTCCCATTTGGGATCATCCCGGTGGATCCGTTCCCATTTGGGATCATCCCGCTGGGTCCGTTCCCATTTGGGATATTCCCTGGGATGGGATGATCCCGCTGGTTCCAGGATCACCTCACCGTGTCCCCAAGTGTCACCTCCCCTCGGGCTTTCAGCCCCTCCAGGGGCCTGGGCAGCCCGGGGACACCGGGAATTCTGTATCCCGGGAATTGTGTATCCCGTTTCCTGGGAATTGTGTATCCCATTTCCCGGGAATTGTGTATCCCGGGAATTGTGTATCCCGGGAATTGTGTATCCCATTTCCTGGGAATTGTGTATCCTGGGAATTGTGCATGGCAGGAATTGTGCATCCCATTTCCTGGGAATTTTGTATCCCGGGAATTCTGTATCCAATTTCCCGGGAATTCTGTATCCTGGGAATTGTGCATGGCAGGAATTGTGTATCCCATTTCCTGGGAATTGTGTATCCTGGGAATTGTGCATGGCAGGAATTGTGCATCCCATTTCCCGGGAATTGTGTATCCTGGGAATTGTGTATCCCATTTCCCGGGAATTCTGTATCCCAGGAATTGTGCATGGCAGGAATTGTGTATCCCATTTCCTGGGAATTCTGTATCCTGGGAATTGTGCATGGCGGGAATTGTGTATCCCATTTCCTGGGAATTCTGTATCCCAGGAATTCTGTACCCCGGGAATTGTGCATGGCAGGAATTGTGTATCCCATTTCCTGGGAATTGTGTATCCCGGGAATTGTGCATGCCAGGAATTGTGTATCCCATTTCCTGGGAATTGTGTATCCTGGGAATTGTGTATCCCGGGAATTGTGTATCCCATTTCCCAGGAATTCTGTATCCCAGGAATTCTGTATCCTGGGAATTGTGCATGGCAGGAATTGTGTATCCCATTTCCTGGGAATTGTGTATCCCGGGAATTGTGCATGGCAGGAATTGTGTATCCCGGGAATTGTGTATCCCATTTCCCGGGAATTCTGTATCCCAGGAATTGTGCATGGCAGGAATTCTGTATCCCATTTCCTGGGAATTCTGTATCCCGGGAATTGTGCATGGCAGGAATTGTGTATCCCGGGAATTTTCCTTCCTGTTTCCCAGGAATTGTGTATCCCGGAGGATTACTGTATCCCAGCCCGGGTTACAGTGTTGTCGCTGTCGCTGTTGTCGCTCCCACAGGGCTGTCCCAATCCAGGGAATTGTCCCTCTCCCAGTCCCTCCCGTTCCCACAAACCTTCCTCAGCCGGGTTCTCCTCAGGCCCTTCATGAATTCCATCCATCCATCCATCCCTGTGTCCCATCCCCGTGTCCCCATTGCCAGCAGGCTCTGGGCAGAGCAGAGGCTGCAGAGTTAATTAATTTAATTACTCCAAGCGGGTAATGAGCCAAGCTCCCTCCGGGCTCCCTTTCCTTCGAGGCGCGGCTGCCTCTCCCAAAATCCCACAGGGATTGGGGTGGGAATGGGTGGGAATTCAACTCAAACTCTCCCAAAATCCCAATGGGATTGGGGTGGGAATTCAGCTCAGCCTCTCCCAAAATCCCAACGGGATTGGGGTGGGAATGGGTGGGAATTCAATCCAAACTCCCAAAATCCCAAAGAGATTGGGGTGGGAATGGGTGGGAATTCAGCTCAAACTCTCCCAAAATCCCACAGGGATTGGGGTGGGAATTGGGTGGGAATTCAATTCAAACTCTCCCAAAATCCCAACGGGATTGGGGTGGGAATGGGTGGTCCAGGAATTCTCCCCAAAATCCACCCCAACCCCTCCTCATGGAGCTTGGTTTGCCCAGGGCTCAGATTTGGGGCGATTTCTGCAGATTTGACTCCACCTTCCCACTCTTATCCCAGAGCTGGGATTTTCCACCCCGAATCACCCTCAAAAGATGAAAAATAAAGATTAAAAAAGGCCCAAAACAGGGAATTCCGTAGAGAAATCCGTGGGTTCCTGTGGGAATTCCATCCCAGCCCCAAAACCCAACCTCTGCTTTCTCAGGGCCCAGATTTGGGTGGATTTTTTACAGATCTGACCCCACAGCTGGGATTTCGCACCCCGGATCTCCCCCGGAAGGTGAAAAATAAAGATAAAAAAGGCCCAAAACAGAGAATTCCTTAGAGAAATCCGTGGGTTCCTCTGGGAATTCCATCCCAACACCCAACCCCAACCTCTGCTTTCTCAAGAACCGGATTTGGGAGGATTTTTTAGAGATTTGACTCCATCTTCATCTTCCTCTCTTCCTGTTCCTACTCCCACCCCACAGCTGGGATTTTCCACCCCGAATCACCCTCGAAAGATGAAAAATAAAGATAAAAACGCCCCAAAACAGAGAATTCTGTAGAGAGATCCGTGGGTTCCTCTGGGAATTCCATCCCAACACCCAACCCCAATCTCTGTTTTCCCAAGGCTCAGATTTGGGAGGATTTTTTACAGATTTGACTCCATCTTCATTTTCCTCTCTTCCTGTTCCCACTCCCATCCCAGAGCTGGGATTTTCCATCCCAAATCACCGCCAGAAGATGAAAAATAAAGATAAAAAAAGGCCCAAAACAGGGAATTCTGTAGGTTCCTCTGGGAATTCCATCCCAGCCCCAAAACCCAACTTCTGCTTTCTCAGCACCCAGATTTGGGTGGATTTTTTACAGATCTGACCCCACAGCTGGGATTTCGCACCCCGGATCTCCCCCGGAAGATGAAAAATAAAGCTAAAAAAAGGCCAAAAAGAGGGAATTCCATAGAGAAATCCATGGGTTCCTGAGGGAATTCCATCCCAGCCCCAAAACCCAACCTCTGCTTTCTCAGGGCCCAGATTTGGGGCGATTTCTGCAGATTTGAGTTGATTCCACCTTCCCACATCTGGGATTTTCCACCCCAAATTTCCCCCAGAACGTGAAAAATAAAGGCAAAAAAACCCCAAAACAGAGAATTCTGTAGAGAGATCCGTGGGTTCCTCTGGGAATTCCATCCCAGCCCCAAAACCCAACCTCTGCTTTCTCAGGGCCCAGATTTGGGAGGATTTTTTACAGATCTGACCCCACAGCTGGGATTTCGCACCCCGGATCTCCCCCTAAAGATGAAAAATAATGATAAAAAAGGCCAAAAAGAGGGAATTCCGTAGAGAAATCCGTGGGTTCCTCTGGGAATTCCATCCCAGCCCCAAAACCCAACCTCTGCTTTCTCAGGGCCCAGATTTGGGGAGATTTCTGCAGATTTGAGTTGACTCCACCTTCCCACTCCCACCCCACATCTGGGATTTTCCACCCCGAATCACCCTCGAAAGATGAAAAATAAAGATTAAAAAAGGCCCAAAACAGAGAATTCTGTAGAGAAATCCGTGGGTTCCTCTGGGAATTCCATCCCAACACCCAACCCCAACCTCTGCTTTCTCAGGACCCAGATTTGGGTGGATTTTTTACAGATCTGACCCCACAGCTGGGATTTCGCACCCCTGAATTTCCCCCAGAAGGTGAAAAATAAAGGCAAAAAAACCCCAAAACAACGAATTCTGTAGAGAAATCCATGGGTTTCTCTGGGAATTCCATCCCAGCACCCAACCCCAACCTCTGTTTTCCCAAGGCCCAGATTTGGGTGGATTTTTTACAGATCTGACCCCACAGCTGGGATTTTCCACCCCGGATCTCCCCCGGAAGATGAAAAATAAAGATACAAAAAGGCCAAAAGAGGGAATTCCGTAGAGAAATCGGTGGTTTACTGGCAGGAGAGCAGCAGCAGCAGCAGGGCTGTCCCCAGGGGTGTCACATGGCGAACAGGATCAGGAATGCCACCATCAGACAGAAGAGCCCCATGGCCTCGGACAGCGCAAAGCCCAGGATGGCGTACGAGAAGAGCTGCTGCTTCAGAGAGGGGTTCCTGAAATGGGAAATGGGAACAGAGTGAGAAAAAATGGGAATGGGAATGGGAAAATGGGGATGGGAATGGGGAAAAGAGCTGCTGCTTCAGAGAGGGGTTCCTGCAACGGGAATAGAGAAAAATTGGGAATGGGAATGGGGAATGGGGAAAAGAGCTGCTGCTTCAGAGAGGGGTTCCTGAAATGGGAAATGGGAATAGAGTGAGAAAAAATGGGAATGGGAATGGGAAATGGGAATGGGAATTGGGAATGGGAATGGGGAATTGGGAATGGGAATGGGGAATTGGGAATGGGAATGGGGATGGAAATGGGAATGGGGAAATGGGAATGGGGAAAAGAGCTGCTGCTTCAGGGATGGGTTCCTGGAATGGGAACAGAGAATGGGAATGGGAAACTGGGAATGGGGAAATGGGAATGGGAATGGGGATGGGAATGGGAATGGGGAATGGGGGAGAAGAGCTGCTGCTTCAGAGAGGGGTTCCTGCAATGGGAACACAGGGAGAAAAATGGGAACAGGAATGGGAAAATGGGGATGGGAATGGGGAAAAGAGCTGCTGCTTCAGAGAGGGGTTCCTGAAAATGGGAAATGGAATAGAGTGAGAAAAAATGGGAATGGGAATGGGAAAATGGGAATAGAGAATGGGAATGGGAAAATGGGAATGGGAATGGGGAAATGGGAATGGGGATGGGGAAAAGAGCTGCTGCTTCAGGGATTGGTTCCTGGAAATGGGAAATGGGCTGAGAAAAAATGGGAATGGGAATGGGAAAATGGGGAATGGGAAATTGGGAATGGGAATGGGGAAATGGGAATGGGGATGGGGGAGAAGAGCTGCTGCTTCAGAGAGGGGTTCCTGCAAATGGGAACAGAGTGAGAAAAATGGGAATGGGAAATTGGGAATGGGAATGGGGAATGGGGAAATGGGAATGGGGAAATGGGGATGGGGAAATGGGGATGGGGAAAAGAGCTGCTGCTTCAGGGATGGGTTCCTGAAAATGGGAACAGGGAATGGGAATGGGAAAGGAAAAATGGGAATGGGGGAATGGGAATGGGAAAGGAAAAATGGGAATGGGAAATTGGGAATGGGGAAATGGGAATGGGGAATGGGAATGGGGAAATGGGAATGGGGAAAAGAGCTGCTGCTTCAGAGAGGGGTTCCTGAAACGGGAACAGAGGGAGAAAAATGGGAATGGGGATGGGGAAATGGGAAAGGAAAAATGGGAATGGGGAAATGGGAATGGGGAAATGGGGATGGGAATGGGGAAATGGGAATGGGAATGGGGAAATTGGGAATGGGAAAGGAAAAATGGGAATGGGAAAGGAAAAATGGGAATGGGGAAATGGGGATGGGAAAGGAAAAATGGGAATGGGAAATTGGGAATGGGGAATGGGGAAATGGGGATGGGAATGGGGAAATGGGAATGGGAAATTGGGAATGCGGAAATGGGAGAAAAGAGCTGCTGCTTCAGAGAGGGGTTCCTGAAACGGGAACAGAGGGAGAAAAATGGGAATGGGAAATTGGGAATGGGGATGGGGAAATGGGAATGGGAAATTGGGAATGGGGATGGGAATGGGGAAATGGGAATGGGGGAGAAGAGCTGCTGCTTCAGAGAGGGGTTCCTGCAATGGGAATAGAGCGAGAAAAATGGGAATGGGAAATTGGGAAAGGGGATGGGGAAATGGAAATGGGAATGGGGAAATGGGAATGGGAATGGGAAAATAGGAATGGGAATGGGAAAATGGGAATGGGAATGGGGAAATGGGAATGGGGATGGGGAATGGGGGAGAAGAGCTGCTGCTTCAGGGATGGGTTCCTGGAATGGGAATAGAGAATGGGAATGGGAAATTGGGAATGGGAAACTGGGAATGGGGATGGGGAAATGGGGATGGGGAAATGGGGATGGGAAAGGAAAAATGGGAATGGGGATGGGGAAATGGGGATGGGGAAATGGGAATGGGGATGGGGAAATGGGAATGGGGATGGGGAAATGGGAATGGGGAAATGGGAATGGAGAAAAGAGCTGCTGCTTCAGAGAGGGGTTCCTGCAACGGGAACAGAGGGAGAAAAATGGGAATGGGAAATTGGGAATGGGAATGGGAAAATGGGGAAGGGGGAACAGGGCAATGGGGAGTGGAAATGGGAACGGGGAATTATGCCCCAAACCAGGGAATGAACACAGGGAATGACCCCAGGGCAGCTGTGCAGGGAGCAGCTGGGATGGCACAGGATTTAACAGAATAATTAATTATATTTTTGAATATTTAATT